CATATCAGCAAAGTTTTCGCTGCCCAGATAGAGGAAGTGGATACGAGTACCAGAACGGAAGATACCCAGTATGTTCCTCGATAAGCAGGAGTTGGCTCTTGCCCACCACCTTCATGTACACCAAAATATGAAGTCATCTCCAGTCGCAGCCTGACTGGAGAAGACCTTTGGAATTCACGTCACCTCCAAACAGCTGCGAAACTTCTAGTATGGAGTCACCCATGGATAGCTACCTGGAGACCAGTACTCTCGATCTGGAAGACCTCCAACATCGAGCAGCTCCGACAACGTCGCTACGGTCCAGGATATCATCTTCACGCAGTCGCCAAGGCGCGGGTTGATGGTATGGACCGGACGTACCTGGAATGGGAAGACCGATATTTTCTTCGTGGACCCCGGACTGAAGGTGAGCGCTGACGGTTACATCGAGCAACTCGAGGAGAATATCCTGCCTTCATGTCGTCGCCTGTACCATCTTGGAAACTTCGTACTGCTACAGGATTGGGTGCACCACATGGAATCGAAGGGCGTTGGAAAAACTCTCGCCTACTTGGAATGGAAGGGCGTTGAGTACCTGAAGAAGACGGAATATCCAAGTGTGTCACCTGACCTAAACCCCTCAATTACCCGGTTCGGGCGGAGTTCAATAGGGTGGTCTACAGTGGCGGAGAAATCAACGATCTCGCTGAACTCAGGCACCGAACCATGGTTGCGTGGCAGAATCTCTCGATGGCGCTCGTCCAGAAGGCTGTGGCGGAGTATCATGATAGTATACAATATGCTGTTGAATGGTGGAAATGTCCAATCAGAATTTAATAAAGTGTAACTTATATCGCCTCGAAACTCGAGGAAAAATGTGGGCACTATTTACCCTTTACTGCCCCAACCATCCAGAATTGAGCCATTTCTGACCGACTTTTTTCCGTGGACAGATTTGGCTCAAATGTTGTCTCCTGGGGTATTTTGACCTCCTGAATACGAATATGACATTCGCTTAGCCCGAAACTTCCTGGCGCCCGCGCCACAGGCGCCGGTGATTTGGGGTATTTTGGCGCCAGCGCCTGTAGCGCGGGCGCCAGGAGGTTTCAGGCCGAGCGAATGTCATATTCGTATTCAGGAGG